ATCTACAGAGTAGCTTTACATTCATCATGAAATCACAAAATAAAAACTAAAAAAACTACGAAATTACAAAAATTATACATATCGGATTAACAATATCAARATTTTATCTTAAATCTAAAAAGATGGAAAAAAAGATTTAAAATTTAATGTTATTACTGTTTACGTAGATATGAATTCGGTGTTCTTAATGTTCATTTTCAATTCTTTTTTGAGCTCTTTCTTTCAAGATTTTATAAATTTTGTTTGAATATACTTTAAGGCTTGTTTCGTTCTTTAGTTCACAAGGTAATGAATTAAAAAGTTTAGCTGATGAGTCTTAAAAGGTTCCTGCTATTAATGGAACAGTAAGTTGGACTGATGAGCTAGACCTCAATGTTCTGATGTTTCCTTTTTGTTCTAACTTAAYGTAAGATGGCCATTTTGTATCGTAGATGGCTTTGTGAGCCGTTCTTAATAGATGGAACTCAGTCCATTTTGTTACTCCATTTTCTTTGCCGCGCTATATACACCTATTTCATAAAACGTTGTCGGTTGGATATCTAAAACCTGAAATCTGAGTCCGATTGGAATTGTGGGGGACTGAGTATTTTCTCGTTAAGAATTCAATATACACTTACCCAGATAGTTTGCCAGCGCAGACCATCGCTCAAAGTTAATATATCAGTTAGTATATTTCCCTTAGCCTTGTACCACATGGTCAGGAAATAATTTGTGTGATAAAAGTTGTAAAAGGGAAGAAACTTTTATTCTTTCAGAGAACCATTGCATTCAGAAAGCAGACGTCGATACCAATAAAGTGCTATTTTCGCCGTCAATCAAACGCTATGAGCCAATCGCGCGCGGTAATTCTGAGATGACAGACAATACCGCATTATATTGACGGCTCTCTCTCGATCAAGCTTGTAGGAGAATCGCGATACTACAAATGCTAACGGTAAAGTAAGGAATGCACAACTTTGTTTAACCAAAGACCATTAAAATTAAAATTTATTTTTGACATCTTGCCATATATGTTACTTTTGGCTTTTCATTTTAGACTTTCAAAAACGGTTAAGAGAAGGATCGTGTATTACGGACCGGTCTACTAACACCGAAGTACGAATGGTTTTCCAATTTTCTCCAATGTTGAGATYGCGGAGTATAAAATCAGTGAAGACTTGTGTGTTTTATTATTGTCTTTATCTTAGGTACTATATTCCACACACAAAGAAATCTGGTTCACATATAAGTGAACGTTCAACTGAGCATGTTTTCCTGTTTTTCATAAAGGACTTGGTCCAGAGTCCTGCTCTTCCAACTTTTCCTCGCAGTCGTCGTCAAAACCGATGTTTGTATGAGTATGAGAATTATTTAAAGAATGACGAGAAACGCTATCGAAGAAGTTATCAAAATCCTGAAGCTCGAGTCTTCTGTTTGTGATATCTTGGGGATTATAGATGACAAAAGAATTCCAGGGGTCACGCATGCTCGGTGCAACCCTACGTTCACTTAGACTCAACTCTAAGGGCGCTAAGGAGAATGCTTCTGATTGGTTCCCCGATCCCTTCCGGTAAAGTTCTCTTGTAGAAGGCCAGGATCGATGAGGCTTGTTTGTCCAAATATGAGATAAAGGGAACCCAAATCTATCCACATAAAACTCAATGGCCAAGACAAGAATCGAAACGACCACACCAACAAGCACTATGGCGTAGCCTCCTCCTACATCATCTATAGCCATTCTTTTAAATATGGCTTTACCATCTTCTTTTGCACCACAGGACCCCCGTAACCATCTATTTGATAGCTTGCGTGAGGTGTCTAGTTGTTCATACTGAATCAAAACTTTAGAGAATCTTTTAGTGAGCGTTGAGTTTTTGGGTAAAGCTAGGCCAAACCCCGAATGAAAGAATGGCTTTCCTGCAAGTTTGAGGTCACAGGATTTTTGTCTTCCAATGTGATACATTAGAGTTGGTTCGTCTCCGATAAATGCTGTTAGTTCGCTTTGCAATGAAAAAGAAAAAGAAAAATTTTAGATTAGCAATACTTACTTGTTTACTACAATTCCATTTGTCAGAAATACATTTACCAATAGTAAGCGAGTTTCTATTCGCAATGATTCAAAATGGTACTAACGCGTCTACCATCCGAAAAGAGCAAGACAATTTTCTTCCGGTGTATCGCACCTTACACGCGCGTCTTCTAACCCAAATGAGCGGGCGGGCAATTTTGGCATCCGGTAAATGGTACGCTGGACAGCTAGGAAAACGAATCAAGTAGGAATACGAACTATTTCCCCGAACGGCAGAATATGGTCGGCCGGATTTTTCATATCAGAATGACTCGATTGTTTTTCTAATCGATATTTTAAGTTTCTCCGTGTAAAAATCCCCGAGGCTTTCTATAAAAGTCATTGATTCTGCGAGAACTATTTCTATACTTCGTTACATATACGTTAATCTTACCCTTCGATTACTTTCCGCACTCCTTCGGCAAATGTTTTAACACTATTTCCTTTTATGTTTCTCCAGATTTGAGAATACACAGCACTTTTGCTTCCTTTAAACGTCTTCTCCAGACTTGTATCTGCAACTGTCCCCACTGTAAATCCTTTGGGTGGATTTTGAAGCTGGTTGTAGTGAAATAAATGTTAGTTTAAAAAAACTAAAAGGGGAATACAAAATAGATGGGTCATATTGCAATAACGAACAGAACATTGAGATTTTTTATGAATGAAAAAATCGCCGTGCCTTAATTGTGACGGTGGCGTGCCCTAGAATTTACATTGGATACAAATGTAAGTCCTCATGCAGTGTCATTGGTTTGAAGGACTGTAAACTGTTTATTTTTTATCAACACAGATGGCATTATTTTAGGCGAAATGCCTTACCTTAGGATCCTGTATTCCTGATAGAGGAAGCACCTCTCCCTCAGACACAAGAACAGCAGCTAGATTAGCAGTGTAGGTGTTCGTTAACACCAGCATAGCGAAGGCAAACACTACAGTAATCAATCGACTGCTGTAACATCTGGGCCTGGCTTCACATTCATCGATGTGGAACACAGTACCCCAGCTGAACCACAAGCTAGCAATCAAGTGGAATTTCTTTCTTTCTTTGTAGTCTTTTCCTTTCCTATAATGTCCACAGGGACTTTTTCTATCGATAAGCCACAAGAGAATGACGATTATATTGATGGTAACTACTATCAACACCCAAAGTTCAATGGTAAAAGGCTCTAGAAACCTAAGAAGCCAGCCCGTACGGTTAATGCGTACTGCAACCAGAATATTCATCCCACTGTGAAGAAATGGCTGAGTGAAGTCAACTGCTTGGCTCCTTAAATTTGTGATCGTGAGGTCTGCAATTGCTAGGTCGACTTCCCCTCGTACGAGTTCTCCTATCAGTCCATTCCACTTGCCTTTATCTAATGCCCCGTATTTACCGTCTTTGACAACGTGGAGGTCAGCTTTGAAGCCGAGGTCATTTTGTAGCATGCCGAGTAAATCGATGACAAAACCTTTGCAGCATTTCTGCTCAATTGTGTAAGAACCAATTGAAGTTAACTGGTAGACTTTACACGGAAATCCAGAGGCGCAGACGAATGTACCTTCTTTGTTATCAGGCTCTTTTAAAGCGCCGAAGAAGGCAAAGGGTTCCGTGATGGCTGTTGCAACACGTAGAACCCTAGTGTGTAGGATATTAGTTGGAGGTTCCACTTTGTTGCCTGGCCATTGGATTGGCACTTTATTACATACCAATTCGTGATTGCTCCAGTGTCCAATCCTTATCCATTCTTTGTCACCGTTCGACTTTGCTTGAAGATTAACGATGTCATACTCTGGATTAATCCTGTTACCAAAGCTGTCAAACTGGATGTGACCTGTTTTTCCTGTTATTTTCATGGCCAGGATGTGTCTGGAAGAAAAGATAGTATTTGCACTTAGAGGATGTTTGAACAAGGGTTTTAAAGAGTCATAAGCTGGGGAATTCCTTTCATAAATGCCTGCACTTGTTACGAATTCGTCAAATGAACCTTAACTGGGAGAAATATATTGAATCTTAGGCCCAGTTAGCAAGATGGACCTCCCAAAGAATGCATTGACTATATTCACTAGCACATATGGCCTAGTTCTTAATGCTAAATAAAACGCCTCACCTGAAGAAAGCCGTATTCTTTTTACTATCCATATTCCTTATATCACCATAGCAACTCGCGTRATTCCTTGATGATATACTTCCTTCCGTGTTATTGAATGTTTTTTGTGCATAGACGTACACCATCAAGGCGTCATACACCAAGTCACGTAATGACTTATATACGGTGGAGTAACATGACCTGTGCAATCGTATTCCTAATAGTCCCGTTGGTATTCTCGTTATCCCGGATAAAACCTCCGCAATCGTTTCACTAATGATCCAAGCGCGATCGCCGTTAAAAAGCCCCAAATCCTCTGCCTCGGTAAGCACCTTGCGTGCTTGGGACGCTTCACAGATTAATACAATAGCAGACGTATCAGTCTTCTTGACTTGAGCAAGTTTCTCGGCGACGTCTTGACTATTCGATGTGTCGATGATGTGAAGTACTGTCGTCAATATTGGGTTTAATACTTCAAGGCTTTTAACAAACTCAGAAACCAGCTGCGGTTTTGTTTTATCACCTATGACCATTACGTGCGTCCATCGAAAGAATGATAGGATACCATTAACTACATTGGTTTGTTGTAAGATATCTGGCTTTAAACTGTATACCATTTTGTATTCCTCGTTCTATATAACGACAAGAAAATTATATTTACTCGAAATGAGAAAGACACATCCAGACACTAGTAATAAAAATACAAAGTACAGGGCAAGGGATGACACCACGTTACACACGGGGCAAGGGATGACACCAGGTTACACACGTGGCAAGGGATGACACAAGGCTACACGCGGGACAAGAGGTGACATGAGGTTACATAAA